TCTCCAGAGCCTGGAAATGTCAAATTGTTTGCAATCCAATCAGGCAAACACCTACACTGCTCCTTTGAAAAAATCACCAGACCTAGCTTCCAATCGCATCATGTACAAAATCAACTCTCAACATACTCACTGCCTTTTACATGTGTTTCACTGGATGATTCAAGTGAAGATCACCGGAAGGACATCACAAAGGCTCGCAGTGCACCTTACCCTTCAAAACAACAGTCTTATATACTGACACGATGTGACGATATCACGAGTGATAACGATGCATTTCCCCCTACTGTCAGTAGTTGGATTGGTGGTGATAGTCCAAAGTGTTTTCAGAATATTTCGCGCTGATGTTTTTTGTTCCTGCGCAAGAATGGAGACTTCAATCTCGAAATCAACTCCATCGTGTTTCTTTTCTTTGTGCGTCCCTAGCAGAGTGTTCGTCTATCAAGACACTTATCAGCTAGGCGATCTTCTATGCCAGCATTGAGCGGCCCAGCCGTTTAGCCAATATATTTATCGCTACACGCTTTGCGAGAGATCAGGTAGACTGCACCTACGCACATGCATCACCTTCTCTGCCTTTAGGACATATTTTACAGTCTTACATTATACAAAGACGGTCATATAAGCGGTTGCGAACTGATTGGCGTCTTAGAGTATTCGGTGGTATTTCAATAATAGCCACCGATTGCTCTAACCCTGCTCTTTTCAAACAGCATTTTATAGCTGTACTAATCTCATTCGAAAGAACAGGAGGATAAACGGGATATTCCTTTCAATCGATTTTCGTTCGGAGGCGAACTGCTTCCTCTAAACCTCAGCTGAGGGGTTGCAAATTCGTATCAATTAAAAGTGGCTATTTCTCGAGCCAGTTTTACGGATTCCACTACCTGCTTCTCCCGGTACATGCATTGGCGGCTGTTCGAAACATGTTTTCTACTAACGTCTTTTTCGTATGTGAGGTATGAGAAGTTAGATAGTGAACCAGGATATATTCATTACTTCGCTTTCGGTACTATTTTGTTATGTAGCCGCTCTCGCCTAAGCTTATTTGCACGTTCAAGAAAGGGAGCCAATCATCTTCTGATATCTCACGGGTGAGTTTCATATAATCTGACTGTTCATTTAACAATCTTAAGCAGTTATCTAGCTCCTCTTGAGCGGAACAGATAACCAAACAATGATCTATATACCTACAGTAAAGTAATGGCCAAAGATCCATCACTGCTGCTTCCATTGTAACCCCTCGGCTTAGGTTTAGAGGAAAGAGTGCGCCTCCGAACGAAAGCTCGGATTAATGGAAAATCCCGTTTATTCTCCCATTTATTTCAAATGAGATCAGTGCAGCTAACAAACATTGTTTGAAAAGAGCAGATTTAGAGCAGTCGGTGGCTATTATTGCAATACCACCGAATACTCAGAGACGCCAATAAGTTCGCAACCGCTTATATGACAGTCGCTGTATATTAAAAGATTGTAAAATATGTCCTAACGGCAGAGATGGTGATTGCATGAGCGTAGGTACACTCTACCTAATCTCTTGGGAAGCGTGTAGCGATAAATATATTGGCGAAACGGGTAGGCCGCTCTATGTCTGCACAGAAGAACACCTAGCTGACAAGCGTCTTAATAGGCAGAACATCCCGCTAGGGACGCACAAAGAAAAGAAACACGACGGAGTTGATTTTGAGATCGAAGTCACCGTAATATACTCGTAATATGAGTCAGTATTTTAAACTGTTGTTTTGAGTGATATGGTGTATTACGAGCCTATGTGATCGTCTTCCGGTGATCCCCACTTGAATCTTTCAGTGAAACACATATAAAAGGCAGTGAGTATGTTGAGAGTTGATTTTGTGCTTGATGCTATTGAAACTAGGTCTGGTGATTTTTTTCACAGGAGTAATGGAAGTGTTTGCCTGATTGGATTGCGGGCAATTTGACTTATCCAGGCTCTAGATAAGGCGAACTGCCGAAACGTCAGCTGTCAAATGAAGTCTAGTTTAACAACCCGTGTTTGGCTTGGAGAAGAAAATCAGGATCTATATTTTTTATATATGTATATCTATCTATCTATCTATCTATTTTATCTATATATATATATATATATATATATATATATATATATATATATATATATATATATATCACCTGTATCACCTGTCGTCCCGTTGATCGTCGAGTGACTCGAGCGGGTACCAGCAACTCTTCCATTTTTCCCTATCGCATGCAAGAGAAGCCCAGTGGGTCCTCCTTGCTCTAGGAATTCGCTGAGCATCATATCTTTCTTCCACCGCTTTCGTGAAGAAATCGGACCAACGGGTCAGTGGTCTTCCTTTAGAGCGCTTGACGTCCCGAGGACTCCAGTCGGTAACGGCTCTCGTCCATCGGTTGTCGTTGAAGCGCATCACGTGTCCGGCCCACCTTATTTTCGATATCCTGGCGTGTAGAACGGCGTCTCTGATTTTCGATCGTTGACGTAGGTCGGAAGTTCGGATCCTTTGTCTCATTTGCGAAATACGAGATACTCCTAGCATCGACCTTTCGACTGCGCGTTCGATAACGGCAAGTGATCTTTCATCCTGCTTACGTAGCGACCAGGTTTCTGCTGCATACGTTAGGGCAGGGATAATTGTCGAGTCGAAAAGGTGGGCACGGAGACGGATGTTCTTTGTCCTCTTCACTACATCTTCGATGCTCTTAAACGTTCCCCAAGCCGCTCGTTTCCTCCTGCTCAACTCTGGGGCTAGGTCGTTCATCATGTTGATTTCACGACCTAGATAGATGTAACTGGAGCATTCGGAAATTGTCGTTCCGTTGAGCGTGAATGGGGCATTAGAAACCCATCCGTTCCTCATGAACATTGTTTTCGTTAGATTCAGTTGAAGACCGATCTTTCCACAGGCGTTATCGAAATCAGTCAACATTCGTTCCGCTTGGCTGATGTTTGGTGTTATGAGAACGATATCGTCAGCAAAGCGAAGATGGTTTAATTGTCGACCGATTCGTTGTCACCGTGTAAATGTGTTCAACTGTTGTATGGGTATAATTTTAAATGAACCAGGAAGCAAGTTTCTGCTGCCTAACATAAATCCATTCCCCGTTTTATTCTGTCTGCTTATAATGAACATCTACAATCGTAAACAGTCTGTTCGGCATCATTATGCATGATATCACCTCATGTTTTAATTAGGCCCCTGGTGTTTTCTTCAAGGCTCGCGAATACTGTGGGTCTACGAGTGATCAAACTCTAATCCTTTTATAATCAAGAGAGTTGAGTGGTGAGCAAAAACAGGGCCTCAGGCGGGAGTCGAACCCGCGTTTCATCCTACTCAGGAACGCGTGCTCTACCACTACACCACCGAGGCACATTCGTTAAGCTGACAGCCACTGTTAACGGGATTTATAAAACGAAATCGCACATCCGACCAAACCTGTTAAAGGTTGGTGGCTGATAGCTAACATACAGACGTTGAAGACAGAGTGGTCGGGCAAAGTGCCTCGGTGGTGTAGTGGTAGAGCACGCGTCCCGAGATAGGATGAAACGCGGGTTCGATTTCCGCCTGAGGCCGTGTTTCTGCTCACCACTCAGTTCTCCTTGTTATATAAGTAGCATCATGACACTGCGGAAAAAGTAGTAGAAATACTATAATTTCTGATCCTTTTGACAATGCTCTCCTGATGAGTTTATTCCTGTCAAATTTGCTAACATGAAACCTTGAGAGAAGTTTCCAATTGAGACAGGAGAACCTAAATGGTGCCTGCTCAGTCTATACAGTGCGACGATTCCTATTACGTTCTCATGAATTTTCATGTATACAGATAAACTGTGGTGATGAAAGTGGCATAAGTCTTTGTTATTCAGAAAAGTAGTGGCACCGCTGCATCACTTACGACACATGTTTAGGTCTTGCCACGACTTCGTAGTCGTATGTCGTGACGGTCAGATGTCCACATCCAGAGAAGCGCTGTACTTTTCATCTCCATTTTTTCGTGAATTTTTCAATGGAATTGGACGAGAGGCGGAGAAAATAGATTTTCTCGATGTGACAGTGGAAGCTGCAAGAACGGTTCATTTCCAACAAAGACTATTTTTCATTGAGAATATCATGATAGTTTCATTTTCTTGCTTATTCTATTCACTTTCCTGAGGAGAATCACTGGAATTCACTTTTCTCTTACCTACTATTCTACTAAGTGTGATTTTTACTTTAGTCATTGATGTTCAATGAGTTAAAGCCATTTTTGTAAGGTAAATCATTACGTATCTTTACCACTTCACAACGAAGACAGCTCTTATTTTCATTGTCGTATGGCAGCGCTCACTGGTCTCACTCACAACGAGTGCTTCGCCGTTCGAATAGGTAACATATTCCCAGGTGGTGGACTAGCCTTTTTCGAAGGGACGAAAATGAACTTTGCAAATGTGATGAAGCGAGAGTGTATTCTGAGTATGTCCTGGTTGCCTTGGGCCGTATGGAATAGTGACCAGAGTGCCCTGCGACACAAACGTAGCCGATGGTTCGATCCCGCGCTCACGACTCCTCGAACCTTTCATTAAGTCGGCGTATTGGTACCAGGCAATCAAAAGATCGATGCCAACTACACATTTTGAGATGGAGAACGCAACTCCATTGTCCCCATCTGCGTTAAGGTTGATAATGAAAATCAGAAAGGCCGTTATGCACGCTCAAATATCGAAAACGGGTGGACCCACGAAGTGATATGTTTTAGCGACAATCAGCGGACAGTTAGCGGCTCGATCTCATCGAAATGTTTGGCATACAACAGGAAGGCCACTTATCTGATGAGTAAACCTCTGCATGAAAGTCGTGGATAAAAATATGGCTCTTTTGAGTCTTTAGAGTAAACTTTCTTTGAATTGAAATGGGAAATGGAAACGTCATTGGCTCCAAATCGCGTATTTTTTCAATAATTGAAATAACAGGAACTTATCACAAAATATTATGCTGTTTACAAGCAGACAAGCTGGGGCTGAAACAGTCTAAATGTGTTCCATCTAACCGACTTGTGTAATTCTTCACACGGAAGGTTGAGTAAGAGAGCTGACGTATGAGCTCGTAAAAAAACTTATTTGATAATTGATTCCATACTAGATTGATCCTAAAAAAATGTAATTTTATTTGAAATTAATGACAATGTAATAAGCAAATCAAGTCGTCCCATTATTGTTTCTCTTCCAAGCAAAATTCCAGCCATCAGTTCAGGCCATAGCATATATGATAACATCGACTTTTTCGGCACCTGCTTTCGTCTCACCATCACTCGTAAAGGACGTCCACAATCTTTCGAATAGGTCATTTTTACATAGAGGAATATGGAATGTTGAACAGAAGGTGTTTATTCTCTTTTTTCAGGTTTGACGTTATGCAAATCAGTGGATTGATGGTGGGATTAGAACGACTTGGTTATATGAGTGTAATTGAGGTGCATACTTTTGAAGCTAAGTAATCAGAATGATTGGTTTTCGAACGATTTAGAGTATGACGGTTTCTATACCGTAGTGATGTGGGGGAGCAGAGCATTGTTCTGATTTTACAAACAGCTAGCCTATAAAGTCGCTTACCCTTTTCACAGGAGCCGAAGGAGACGGGCATTAAGGGATGTCAAGCATGTAGTGACCACCATTGGTCATTAGGTGACTGGACTCAAAAGCTGAAATATCAGAAAGTTCAAAAAAGTAATTTTTCAAAGACTTTCTTACAGCGCTGTAGCATTCAAATCATATTATTTTTCGCAAGCGTCGTGCACCTTTCGCGTGTTATCGCGCTTATACTTTGCTAAACAAAGCTCCTTTTTCCAAATTAAATGAACCATCAAGTAACGTAAATCACAGAGAGTTTAAAAATGTGTTTGTCTTCTATTGAAGCTTCATACCGCACTCTAACAATCTAAATAAAATTCAAAATATCGTATCTTTCCATTCAAGTGTTTTTTTTAAGACCACAGCTCAAATTTCAATATGCCTGATAATCAGTTTCTGAGCCATGCATGTCAGTTGTCTGTCAAGGAGGGCCGACTATAGAGCCCAATAGAAATGTTTTGATCTTGCGATTTCATCAATGTGGCAGTTACCCTTTTGATAAGTAAGCCTTTCTTAACAGACCACTGACATGCGTGGCTCAGAAAATGATTATCAGACATATTGAATGAAATTGTGCCTTACACGTGTCCTGCGGTATCGAGAGAACCTTTGTTATTTTTTGAATGTTGTTTCTTCGTTTCGCCAAGCTTTCTAGGTTTTTCGTGGTTAAATTGTAGAGCAGACATTGTTCTATCGTTTTGAAGCTTAGGCTTTTTATTTTCACATTGCACTGCCAAATAAACCCGCTACTAATCTTAATCTCAAGCCAAGTCTAAACATCCTAAACCTAAGCACGGAAAGCATATGAACAGTAGAGCAAATGATCATGCATCAGACTTATATGCTTCGTCTAAATTTCTTATCAAAGCGGGAAATGTCCTGAGTTCAACAACGAGAATTGCAGGATACGTGAGACTTGCGTTGTAAGATAGATCGGTGGTGCTGTGCGGCAGATCCGACGCAGTAGATTTACCTTAATTATATTTTCCCTGCTACCGTGAAGTAGAACGGTCTTTTCGAAAAACATCTGCAGTGCTTGACTCTCCGCAACTTACTCTGTCGAATGGTTACTAATCGTTCAAGGATAGAACTCTGTTCTGCGAATAAATATGCATATGTGAAACACAAACCTGTTCTCTCTGAGCGCTACAAAGAGGTCTCTTTGGTAGGCAGTCAAATTTCCAGAATTTCTGAGATTTACGCTATTGAAATGTTATTAATAAGTTAAGGAAAATAGCTTTCTTGTACAGAATATAATAGCGGAAACACGTGATGACTCAGCAACGAGTGTGAAACATAATATTATTCTGAAGGCTACAACGCGCACAGAGGCCCTTTTTTCAAAAAAATTTAATCCTAAGTTTCCAGAGAGTTATGATTACATACTACTCTTTTCTCTGCTTGAAACTTGCTTGAGCTTGTTAATTGTTCTTTTTTTCAAAACTCAATGGCTAACGTTTTGGCGGCAATGCCTTCGTCAGAGCCTAGACGTAGAAATCACACTGTTTCTAATTACTCGGTTAAATTTCGCAAACATCAAAGATCCTGATAACTTACGTCTCCAATTGGTTCGGAACCGCTGGTAGGACCGACTGCGCTAAGAATGACAACTGTAGAGTATGTCCTAATGGTAGAGAAGGAGATTGCACGAGTTCGGGTACAATATATCTGATCTCGCGCACAACATGCTGTGAGAATATAATGATGAGACGAGAAGACCACTTTAGATCCGCGTCAAAGAACACTTAGGTGGGAAGGACAGCAGCAAAACAAGTAAGCTTTCAGGGCGCACAGAGTGGAAAAACATGGCAACACGGGCTTTGATGTGGTAGTGAAAATCCTGGGCCAAGAATCAATAACATCAGCGCGAAAAACCCTTGAGGCCTTTTGGATAGACCACAACAGAAATAAATTGGAGAGGGAATGCCTAAACATAGCAAGCAAAATGGCACCTTATCTCAAACCCATCTTTTAGTATGAGTGTGGTATTTCATAGATCGTGTCAAACAAGATTAGTCTTAGAAGCAACAAAATGTGGGGTTTTTCAGAATGACTAGCCTGTTGATTTCTGTTTTGTTAGATTTTTGATACTTGCGAAACATTAAACGAGTAATCGGATATGATATGATTTATAAGTCTATGCTCTGACGAAGGCGTTGCCGCCGAAACGTTAGCCATCGAGTTTTGGGAAAAAAGAATGAACTTACCAACCTCGTGCAAGATTTAAATAAAGAAAAGGATAGTTTCTGAGAAATTTGAAATTTTTTCAATCATGCCGAGGTTTAGGAATAGTCGGACTTTTGAGTTAAGATTTCGAGTAACTACTAACAGTTTAATGGAAAGTCTTTGTCCATCGCAAAATTTGGCTTCAAAGAATCTCTGTTCGATAGCAGAATTGACCAGAATATCGTGGTGAAGATCACCTTGTGACTCGATGATTGTTTTTTTTTTGGAAACTTTACTTCTAGCATAATGAAGAAATGAACGTACTGACTGACTGGTATCTCACAGCTCATGAATGTCACATGAACAAGCTACAAAATGCGGCTGTCGCCTATTTAACAACACACCATCAATGGCAGTACATTACCGAGTATGGTGATGGGGACGTAAGTGTTAAGTTTGCTTAGTAGACTATTTTATAAAAAAAAACACTACTAATCTCGTGACAGGTACTTCATGCCACATGACTAGTGATTATCAAAAACCGACTTTTGATTAGACTCTTTGTGCATGTGCAAAATCTTAATTCGTTTGCATAGC